AACTGAACGAGCTAAAGCTGATGTTTGTGTTAGCTGATTTGAATTAGCGGAGGTGCCCGTCATGTTACAGTGGTGCTTGAAAGTTTGTGGACCCTTTAGAACTGTCTATATCTCTGCATGAATATGACCTAAAACATCATCAAATTTTCACACACATTCTAAAAGTAGAGAACCCATTTAAACTAATAAGACAAATATAAATATTCAGAGATTCAGAGATTCTTTATTGTCATTCGCACCTCATGTGGTACATGTGGTGGAACGAAATTATGTCCACAGGGTCCCAGTTACATCCAACAATAAAATGTATAAGAAAAACAGTAATAACATCTAAGATATGAACTAAGAAAAACATCAACTAAATATACACTAAGCTCTAGTAGAATTAAACACATTACGCCAAACAGCAGCACGAACAATCAATCAACCTTTATTTCTACAGGTAAATCCCATTGAGCCTCGAGGACTCATTTACAAGAGAGACCTGATTTAACAAAGAGTGATGACAACAATGGACAACAGCAACAACAATAAACAGTTATAAAAACTCATACTACAGTTTTTTTTTGTTTTTTTTTGTTGTTTTTTTAACAAATAGGATGGCTAGAACAAGAGTCTGTGTGAGCAGATGAGCACGCATGAACACAGCAACATGAAACAGATCAGCAGCAACATGAAACAGATCAGCAGCAACATGATATGATTTTTCACAGTGATTATTCTAGTTAGAGATTCATGAGTCTAACAGCCTCAGGGTAGAAGCTGTTCCTCAGTCTAGTGGTTCTACACTTAATGCTCCTCAACCTCCTTCCTGAGGGGAGTGGGGCAAAAAGTGTATATAAAAGTATACATATATATGTATGTATATGTACATACATATACATACATATATATGTATATACATATACATGTATATGTATATACATATACATATATAAAAATCCCCCCCCCCCCCCCACACACACACACACACACACACAGGTTTGTTTTGCTATCTTTGTGGGGCCTTTGCATTGACTTCCATTCATTTTTCATTAATTTCTATAGCCTAACCATGACCTTTATCCATAACCTAACCATTACCAGTACATACCTAACCCTAAACCTAACACATCCTCAATTCACACCTTAGTCCTAAACCTAGCCCGTAACCCACCAACGGGACTTCTTCTTATGGGGCCCAGGCTTTGGGCCCCATAAGGAGCAGTTGGTCCTCACAATGTAGTATAAGTTGGAAAAATGGGCCTCACAAAGTAGCATAAACAAGGACACACACACACACACACACACGTGATAAGTGCTGTGAGCCTTTCAACATCAACAACTCCAGTTGTCAGTTTGTGCATGAAGGTGTTTCTTCCTTGCAGATGAGCAAAGCTGTTGTGTATGTCGTGTACCGAGCATGTTCCTGTAGATAAACTGCAGACCTTTTTCACCTGAAACTCTTGGGCAATGACAAGCCAGCTGTTTAAACTGTCCAGTCTGGGGTGCCATTAAAAACCACTTAAGGGTTTATAAGAGAGCAAAAAGTCTTCTGTGAAATTGCGTATGGCGTAGATGGGATGAAAATGTTCTTGGTTTCCCAGAAAAGCTCTTCTTGTGTTTTATAGCTTTGCCTGCTGTATTGACCTGTTATCTTTTAGTCCTTAAGTATTCATAAGAGAAAAGATGCTCCCCAACTTTCATGATCTTTTTAAGCATGAGTGCATTTCATTTTTTTCTTACAAGAAATAAACATCTACAGCGAGATTAATTATGTCAATATCAAAAGCAGGAATTATTTTGAATAACTTTGCCAAATGGGTTCTCATTCCATAACAACTTTGTAGAAGTGAACGGTAAAAAACTATGTTTGGGTTTAATTTAAGAGATGACAGCTTCTTTCTAACTCATCTGTCAGCCCTGAATTGGGATATAGCCCATATTTTACCAGGATGTACTGAAAATATGCTTTATATTTTTTTTACACATTTTACACGATTTGTTCTGTGTAAAACCTAAGAGTATGTTTTCATGAATCAATTACTGCTTTTCAGTTAGACTGGATTAAAATCCCTTGTAGTTTAACCTGATCAATTACAATTGATAAATCCTTCAAATATGACTGAAATTTATATGGAATAGGTATTTTATTTTGTTAACCTACAAGTTTGCCTCTCAATCAGTGGCTTTGATTTTTAGATTAAGCTTATTTCACTTGACTGCACTGAAGGTGTGCCTAAATTGATCCAAGTCTCCAGGATAGGCAGGTGAATGTGTGCATGCTAAATTAATTGAATATCATGGAAAAGTTGTTTAACTTCCATAATTCCATTCAAAAAGTTAATCTTTAACAGATGATAGATTCAGGGCCCACAATTTAAATGATTTCAAGTATTTATTTGTTTATTTTTACATAATTTGGGCTTCCAGCTCATGAAACCCACAAAAACAGGATTTCAAAAAATTAGAATACTGTGAAGAAATCAGTCCAAATGTTGCAGGACATGAATGTTTTAAACTGAGTGTGACACGAATCATCTACTAAACTCAAAGCACCTGCACAGGTTTCCCCAGGTGTCATTAAATTGATTCAGTTTGGTTCAATATGGTGAAGACTGCAGATAGAACATCTGTCCAGAAGACCATCAGTGAGACCCTCCATAGGATGGGTAAGACACAACAGTTCATAGCTAAAGAGGCTGGCTGTTCACAGAGCGCTGTGTCCAAGCACATCAATGGAAAGTCTAGTGGAAGGACAACATGTGGCAGGAGAAGATCCACCAGCAACAGAGATGACCGTGGGCTTCAGTGGATCATCAAACAGAGAAGATCCAGAATCTGTCAGAGATCCAGAAAGAGTGGAATGAGGCGGAGTCACAGCTTCAACAACCACCACATTCAGACTCATCCGGGAGATGGACTACAACTGTCGAGTTCCTCGGTCCTCTTTTCTGATGAAAGTTAAGTGTCTTTCATTCACAAATCAAGGTCCAAGGGTTTGGAGGAAAAAGGGTGAGGAACAGAACCCATACTGGTTGAGGTCCAGTGTGAAACATCCACAGTCAGTCATGATTTGGGGTGTAATGTCCAGTGCAGGTGTTGGCAGTGGTGTATGCTCAGTGATACGCTGGTATACGCCGTATACCCATTAGAAAAGCTTGGGAATTTCCGTATACCCACTTAAAAGTGTCCAATGATACGTGACATATTGGGCATGTGTCATTGATACGTTGAAACATTGAAACGTCTGGGCAACATGCATCGTAAACGTCCTCAGGGACCAGCGGTGTCTCTCTTCTTTTATGGGGGGTAGGGGGGAGACGGACGATCTGTTTGTTCTGCCAGGCACGTGTGCCACCGCAAGCTGCTCCAGCTATGTGAAGCTAGCGGGAGTGACGCAAAGCATCACCGGAAAAAGGGTGAGGGGCTTTTCAGAATAAAAGTTTAGACCGGATATTTATATTTTGTTGTGTCAAAAGTATTAGTAACCTTTGAAGCCACCAGCATGACGTTTTGAGAACGATAAACAACAAAACCATTATTAAACAATGATTCTTGGTCACATTACTTTTTTTTTAAACAACACATTATATTCTGATGCATGCTCAATAATCCAGGTAGAAAAATCCAAAAAAGTTCAATCTGGTCCTCTGGACATTCAAAAAAACAAAAACAAAACAAAGCAAAAAAAATCTAGAAACGTTTCGTCTCTCATCCAAGAGACTTCCTCAGTCTGAGGAGCTGTATTCAGCTCAGTCTCTGAACACATTATATTAAAAAAAACACATAAAAAAAAAACATTCATATTTACATGTGCCACTTAAAGCATAAAGAACTTTCATATTTTGTCCAATTTATTTGGAAGTCTGAACTAAACTGAAAATAACTTACAATAATAAATATGATCATGTTTTTGCATGCGTGCATACGTGCATGAGTGCATATATGCAAAATATCCATCCATCCATCCATTATCTTCCGCTTCCTAGGGAGGTGCTTCAGGTAAATCAAAATAAATTGACGATTACATTGTACTAACTGGTGTATTTTGGTTTCTAAGCACAGTATACCCACTACAAAAATGTAGACTAGACCACTGGGTGTTGGTAAACTCTGCTTTCTTAAATCTAAGGTCACAGCAACAGTCTACCAGAATGTTTTAGAGGACTTCATGAGTCCTTCTGCTGAGGATCTGTATGGAGATGCAGAGTTCATCTTCCAGCAGGACCTGGTCCCTGCCCATGCTGCCAGAAGCACCAGAACCTGGTTTGATGCCACAGTGCTTGACTGGCCAGCCAACTGGTCGGACCTAAACCCCATTGAGAATCTATGGGGTCTTCTCAAGAGGAACATGAGGAGCACCAGAGCAACAACAAAGAAGATCTGACAGCATCAAGGAAATCTGGGCTTCCATAACTCCCAGTCAATGCCACAGGCTGATGGTCTCAATTCCATAACTCCCAGTCAATGCCACAGGCTGATGGTCTCAATTCCACAACTCCCAGTAAATGCCACAGGCTGATGTTCTCAATGTCGCATCGAGGCAGAGATTAAGACAAAGAGATTCACAACCAACTATTGAAGATTGACATATTGATTTGAAAGAACCATATTTTGATTGATTTGTTCTGATCCTAATTTATTTATTTTACTGCAAAAACTGAGAAGTAGTGTGGACTGATGTCTTCACACTATTCTAATTTTTTGAAATCCTGTTTTTGTGGGTTTCATGAGCTGGAAGCTCAAATTATGTAAAAATAAACAAATAAATACTTGAAATAGTTTAAATTGTGGGCCCTGAATCTATTAACTATTTAAGATTAACTTTTTGAATGGAATTATGGAAGTTAAACAACTTTTCCATGATATTCTAATTTTTTGGAAAGGGTCTGTATATATATATATATATATATATATATATGTATGTATATGTACTGTGTGGCTGTGGTTGGTTCTGTTTTGAACATATGCTCTGCTTAAATAGGAGCACAACAGTTAACTTTACGATTCCTTTACAGGAGGATGTTTCCCAGCTTCAAGGTCAAAGTGATGGGTATGAACCCCAAAACCAAATACATTCTTCTTACTGACATAATCCCAGCAGATGACCACCGATACAAATTCTGTGACAATAAGTGGTAAGTTTGTGTACATTTCATCCACAGATTTTTTCATTGCACACATTTAGAAAAGAATCACAATGCAAGAAAGTA